ATACATAACATACACAACATGCATAACATACATAACATTCATACCATACATAACATACATAACATACATATCATACATAACATACGTAACATACATACCATACATACCATACATACCATACATACATGCATACATACATACATGCATACATACCTACATACGTACATACATACACACACATACATACATACATACATACACACACACATACATATGTATGCATGCATACATACATACACACACATACATATGTATGCATACATACATACATACATACATAAATACATACATACACACACATACATATGTATGCATACATACATACACACACATACATACATACCATACATACCCAGAACACACACAGACATACAACCACCATACCCTACAGACAGAGAACATACATACCATACATACCATACATACATACCATACATACCATACATACCATACATACATACATGCATACATACCTACATACGTACATACATACATACACACACATACATACATACACACACACATACACATGTATGTATGCATGCATACATACATACACACACATACATACATACATACATACAGACTATTAGCAGGACAGAATGACAGACAGCAGAATACATACCTTTACAGACATACAGACACACACACATACACATGTATGCATGCATACATACATACATACACACACAGACATACATACATACATACATACACACACATACACATGTATGCATGCATACATACATACATACATACACACACAGACATACATACATACACATATATATGTATGCATGCATGTATGCATACATACACACACACATATACATCCGCTCCCTTTTTTCAGGTCGATTCACTGGAGTCCTCTGAGCTGATGCTGGTGGCGGCCCATCCCATCACCGGGCGCACGCATCAGATCCGTCGCCGGGCTCACTTTGGGATGCCAGGGTGGGGTATGGGTTGCCATAAATGGGGAATCTCCAAAATGGATGGTTTTTAATGGACAACTACTAAAAATGATGATTTTGGGGCCGGGTACCCCATTTTAGGAAACCTCTAGGTATGGGAAACCCAAGGCCATAATCACTGAGGAGTCACCAGAAATAGATGGGACATATTCAATATTGTGCCCAGATGGTAGGTTCATGGCATGTGGTTTTTTAATGGACGGGTCGGTACCGGTCTTGTACCTTGCGAGGCTGCCATTCCCTCTGACAAATCAGCAAATCGTCCATAAATGGGGCATTTTCCATGGACACGTTTGAAATGCCAGAGGGTGTTGCAAATGGGATTTCCATTGGGTTCGATTTGTTTTTCGAGGTGGGCACACCCAGTTCACAGGAATAACCTTCAGATGTGAATTGTTTTATCATTTGTTAATATATCTATCCTTTTGCGTCCACCGTGGCCCAGTTGTAAATTTATGACCGCTGGAGCAAACATGAGCAAACCATAGATTTTTTATGAGTTTTCATGGGTTTCATGTATGCACAGACCAAAAGTGTCATAACTGTATACTGCGTAAAAGTCGCATATTCATATACACCAAACCAATGTATAGAAAAAAATGAAATAATGTCTCTGAATTTGTGCGTTGCTTTCAGAACCATCCTGCCGCACTTTGAGTCATCACCCTTTCCGCTCCATTCTGCAGGCGTTCACTTTGCCTTTCTGGGCCGACCCTTAGTGGGCGACCTCACCTATGGCAGGTGCAGCCCAAACGAAGTCTTCAACGATCACCAGCGGCTGACATTTGAGTACTGGTCAAAGTTTGAATCCACAATGTTATGACGAAACCATGAAACCATTTCCTTTTCGGGTTTGCTTAATTCCGATTGTGTTTTTTTTTGCATTTATTGCCATGATTACTTGTACCCTTGAAACCATCCAATTATCCCCAGGCGAAAGTCAAAGTTGCGCACCATTGCCCGCCAGGCGAAATAGCTCGGTGGTGTGCCCGCGGCTGTTCCTGCATTGCCGACGCTTCAGCTTCCCGGCTCTGCCCCAAAAAGGGGGGTTTCGCAGAACAAAACTGACCGAATTTGTGGGTCCATTCCTGCCCCAACTCATCATGCCTTATGTGGGCATACATTTATCCCTTCAAATTTCATTGCGTGGGATCAAGCAGACATGGAGAGACTTAGCCTTTGGTAATCGATTCCAGCAGTGGTAGATGCCCGTTTGATAGGTGATACGGGTATCAAAGATGAGGATATCCCAGTTGTGTGAGCAACATAATTAATAGATTGACCCACCATGGAAGGTTCATCTATATATATATATATTAATTATATATATATATATGTATATGTATGTGTATATGTATATGTTTATGTATATGTTTATGTATATGTATATGTTTGTATATGTATATGTATGTGTAAAAATGAATCAACATGACATACCGATCGATTGACATAAGTGTTATCTTTTTGCCGAAAAAACTGAAAATATCAACATCATGATATTATGCATATACACATACATACATACATACATACATACATACATACATACATACATAAATACATACATACATACATGCATACATACATACATACATACATTACATACATTACATACACTACATACACTACATACACTACATACACTACATACACTACATACACTACATACACTACAGACACAAATACAAATATGCATATAAAACATGAATATATACACACAGTTTGCACAAACGTCACCTTCAAACGCGTCAGCTCCCCAAACGCAACGCCATCAGGCTGCCGGGATCTGTCCGGAGCGCCCCTGGTGGCGGAAGCACCGCTGCCCCGGGAACTGCAGGAAGTCTTGGCGCAGCTGCGCAGCTGCTAACAGTGACAGCGACGAAGCGACGAAGGGACGTTGCGTCGGAGAACGTCGGAGAACGAGAACGTTGAAAGTCCAAGGTTTCTTAGGCAGTTGTTGTTTTGGGGGTTGGTTTCCAATTTGATATGTTATGCTGGATAGGGATAGAAACGCGATACAACGTGCTAAACAAGGTGGTGATTTTAAGATTTTGGGCACCTGTATGGTGAGGCCAATTGCAGAAGTGGTTGGGCAGTTGAAGAACGGACCCAAGTTTCTCTTATATAGTATAAGGGAACAGCCATGCACATTGCAAACTACCCAGTATACCTTGAGGCAACTTGTTTCACTTTGGTCATTGGTTTGGTCATTGCTTGCCATTGCCAAGACCAAAGCTGCCATGGGTCTTGAAGGTTTGAATTTGCGTTCATATCTTGGCAGACAGAAGAGGTCCAGATATTGAAGGTTTGAATTTGCGTTCATATCTTGGCAGACAGAAGAGGTCCAGATATTGAAGGTTTGATTTTGCGTTCATATCTTGGCAGACACAAGAGGTCCAGATATTGAAGGTTTGATTTTTCGTTCATATCTTGGCAGACAGAAGAGGTCCAGATATTGGAGGTTTGAATTTGCGTTCATATCTTGGCAGACAGAAGAGGTCCAGATATTGAAGGTTTGATTTTGCATTCATATCTTGGCAGACAGAAGAGGTTTAGATATTGAAGGTTTGAATTTGCGTTCATATCTTTGCAGACAGAAGAGGTCCAGGTAGATACCTGATTTGTATGGAGAATGCGTACAATTGTTGGGCAAGCTTCACAGTATTGTGTCTTGTGTAGAACTACGTCCAGCCCGGGATCCCAACACATGTTTTTTCTTTTAGTGAGTCCTTCGTTGAACTTAGAGTTTATATATCCGTCAACCCTTCTATATAGAAGGTTAGTTGCATCCATTATTTGCAATTTTAATAAATTTTATATGATATATTTGAATTACCCTCTGGTAAACTAACACACCCATGGAAAATCACATTTTTTTAATGGATAAATCAACTATAAATGGCCATTTTCAATAGTTAGCTATGTTAGTTCACCAGAGGGTATGTTGCCTCACTGGCGGGGCACATGACCGAAGTGAATTACAACAGCTGCTGCTACACTTGGACTAAGGTATTGTCCAAGGTGGACCTGGGACCTGGAGTGAATCTGTGCGGTCCAGTACAGGTGGGACACCAAGAACGCGTTGAAAGGGGACGATTGGGGGGTTAACCCCTGGGCTTTTGATCATTGGCGGAGGCTATGATTTTAATAGCAGATGACATCACTATGTTGTTTTCCCCCTGCTTTATGAAGCGGGGTCTATGAATCTGGACTTCATCCGGGCTTGACATTACCCAACTTGTGGCTTGCCCCACTGGGGATGTCTCAGAACCGATATTTCCATACATTTCCATGTTTGGAGAGGATGAACATCCAGCATCATCCAGCATCATCCAGCTATATTTGGTCGTTCAAAGCGACCAGGCTGATCCTCTTCACGCTGATCTGTCTACACAGCCGGCGAGAAAGGATGGCAGGATGATCTCAATGTTGGGGGTTGTTATTGCTTTTACAGAATAATTACAGTATCAATTTATCAATCAGTATAGCTGCCATTTTAGTAACTCCATTTTGACGCCTACCCATTTGAGAAGCTGCTCAGATGGCTCTCAGGTAGTTGTATGATGTGGGAACGGGGTTGTTGGGCGTGAATGCGCAGATCTTGGCTCACATCGAAAATAGGCTGAAGCTGCCAGCTGGTTTTGCGTGGCCTGCAGCTGTTTCCAGCGAGGGCCAGGTCATGGCTGATAGCAGCACCACAAATGGGAACGCAACCTCTGCGATCGGTGTCTCCAAACCAGAAACTATCGAGAAGCCCTGTCTATGGCTTTTTATCTCGTCGCTTTTTGAGGGTGCCGTTGTATAATGTTGTATAGACATGTATAGACTACCGGGTCTTTCTCCACTTCTTACCTATCAGGCAGGTAAAGCCACAGTATTCCCGGCCATGTCATCGAAGTTGCCTGGTACAGTAGCTGCAACTTCGGAAGGACCTCACCACAGAAAATGTTCGTAGATGCTCCAAAATCATCAAAAATCTAAGTTGGGACTGATGACGATTTGCACAGCTTAATCCCTCTCTTTCCTGCCATGGGAAGCATCCAAGCAATATTCGCCACGCTGGGCTGCCTGCACATGGCAGGGGCAGAAATTCAACTGCACCTTAGCGCCAAATAACTAGGGGCGACTGGTTTTGGAACTGCAGGTCAGGAGATTTCCCGTTCTTTGAGCTTTTGGGAAGCTAGTGGGCCACATCAAAGTGGTTGGGAATCCGGAATCAGAAAATACATATTCCTCCGGTGGAGTTGTGTACACATAGTGATGGGGCGTGTCACAACGGCAAGGTGAGAAATTATAGCATCTCTATGATGCAGGTCGTGGGTTCAGCACGCCTGCGTCAAAAGCCCATTCCCTCTCACCGCTTCTTTCTGCTTTTCTTTGTGTTGGACAACGCGGTTAACCGAAAGGCTCATTTCGAGGAACCACCCAATGGTCACCAAAATGTGTGCAATACCCTTCCTCAATGATTTGTGCTTGGATATGCCCCAACCCGCGGCATCAACAGAGATGAAGGGTCCACTGAGCCACTACGCTTCACTACCCACGTCAGAAGTTTCGCAGGTATGTTCGATCACAAGGACTGGCACATCAGACACTGAGCTTGGAGTCAGCATTTGATGCAGGCTGGTAGAGAACAACCTAGACCCAGGGACACATATGGAATCTAATCCATTGTTTTCAATGTTCTCCTATCTTAGTCAGTCATAGTCATGTCACATCTTATAGATGAAACACCAAGGTGTAGTGTGAGCCCATTTCCCCTTTTCTGTCGGAGTATTTCATCCTGTCTTATTTATCTAATTACATGTGGTTTTTAGTCATCCTGATCTTGCCTATCTTATTTATGGATCTATTTCATGTTCAGCACATGTATGTATATATGGTCGTGCAACATATACACTGTTTATCTTATACCTTATCTATCTTATCGTTTTATCTATCGTATCTACCGTATCTATCGTATCTATCTATATTTGCTGACTAATTTGCTCCCAAATACATGCGTTAAGTCATTATATATATATATATTATATATATATACATTATTATTACATTACATCACAGTACATCACATTGCATCACATCACATGATAATTACATGTGTACTTATATTTATATTACTGTATTTTAGTTTTAAGTTCACAGTAGCATGTGCATTACCTTGCATCTCTTCACATTACATTACATGGCATGGCACGAACCGACATGACTGACATGGCAAGACATGCATTGTGTTTCAATATGTAAATACACACATATATATATATACACACGTTAATTTCTCATCTATGATGCAGAATCAATTATGCATATATAGCTTTTGAAACCAATATATATATACAGAGAGAGAGAGAGGGAGAGAGAACTTGTGGATATACGTATGTGAGCTTGTAACCAGGTGTCAACCCAGCGGTATATAGGTATATAGATTGAGAGTCAATCTACTGACTTTTTACTCTTTGATTTTGCCCTTTCATTCAACCACCAAAAAATAATAAAGCCTACTATATAAAACATGATAAAACCCTGATCCTTTGAAGACGGGTTAATTCCAACAGAAATTACATATAGCTTAATTCCAAAAGAGACACCCAATCAACCCATCATTTGGGGGTTGCTGAGGACCATGGCCATGAATGAACTCTTGGCAGCAGCAACTTGGCGGCGAGATCTGCACAGATTCGCCAGGTTCGTTGCAGCTTCCGCTTCGTCTCAGGTAGTAGAAGCTGGATGGCCGCACACATCTGTGGTAAGCATGAAGGATGCCGAAGAGGATTGAACCTGACCGGTCAGCATAGTCGATCATTGAAGAAGGTAATGTGCCATGTCGCAGCTACATCCGCCATTTACCCTGATTAACTGATGAGTTTCTAAAGCCAAATCATGCTCTGCAGGATTTGTGTACCTATTTCATGGCAGGTGCACCTTCACGAATCTAGTCACATTTACATGCATCATGCATCTTAGATTCTTACTGGCGGTTTCGATATTTCTTGATTTGAACCATATTTGGGATGATGATACCTGTAGGGGTTGAAACCACCAGCCAGCTTGGATACCACCCTAGATATGCTGCTAAAGTTGGGTGACTAACCACTGGGGCTCTCCAGGAACTGCGTCATGGCGGATTGTGGAGCTACTTCCCATGGATCTGGCTATCGGAGAAGAAACGCTTGAAAAGCAACTGGTGGCTATTTTCAGCCTGTGGCTGGTGATTTTCTTTTGGTGCTTCTGAGAGTTGTGTTGTTTTTCCTAAAGGGGTCAGTTCATCTTAACTGTCCTAACCCCATCCCTATCGTTCAATGAGTTGAAGCCAACGGCCATTATTCTCAGGAACTGCAAGTCATGGTAGTGAAGATGCTGTAGAGCCGTAGAGCCGTAGATATAGAAGTTCCTGTTTTGAATTGTGCTCAGGGGGTCCTAGTGGGGATGACAGGAAATGGGAATGAAGTAGGACAATTTTAAGAATTGTGCGCAGTTGGCTCAGTTGGCTCCTTTGGATTGGTTGGCAATTCATGTTGAATGAGTTCAAGGAAAACACACAAACACGGAGCGAGAGAGAGAGAGAGAGAAAGAGAGAGAGAGAGAGAAATGCACGTATGTATTTCATGTGCATACCATTTGTATATCATTGGGCAACCTCGACAAAGCACATAAATCCTGAATTGAGGAAAACATGCATTTGGGGTGTTTTTCGCCAAACAAGCGCAATTGCACCACTCTTGGCATTTTTCCATTTGTGCGTTTTCAAGCGAAAATTCTGAATGTATGTTCCTGGGAAAGGAGCGTAAATAGTTGGGAGAAAAGCTTACATACCCGTCCATCAGAACAAAGAGGCGGGTGTTTCGGTCAAGTGAGCATAAACGTCGATGACAGCACGCACACACACACACGCACACACATATTTTTAAAACATATATATATATATATATATACACGCACACATATGTTTTGTATATATACATATAAATGCGACCAAAAGATGCTATGAGCCGAAACAAATACCATTTGAAGATCCAAGTATATACACAGATCATGTACATGAGTACATGCTATGTATATGTAGCATATATGTGATTATAAATGTTATATAAATATGCACATAGAAAGGCTACCATTCCCTCCATGAATGATGGTACGTTGGCTGGTTCCTGCCCAGGCAAGCGCTCAGCGCGCGGTGGAAGGTGGCTGGTGTTCCTTGAGGCCGGGCGTTTGTTGGTGGAGCCCTGGTGGATTACTGTAGCAGTTGCAAGACCGGGACAGAGATCTAAACTATAAATATCAACCCCCTAAAGAGATGGAAGAGTAGTTTATCATTTGTTTGACTGATTTTTTGAAAACTTCTATTTTTGGAGGTTGCTATAGAGACAAGAAGATTTAACCAACCATAAGAATCCAAAAGATACAATATGTGGATATTGACACACAGTTTGTGGTTAGGATTTCAACTAGCCAAAGTCCGGATTGTTGCAACGCTCTTGTCCGGAAGTAGGGATCCAGCATGTGTAAAAGCATTATTCATAAACGAACCAATGCAATGTCACCTGGTCCGACGGCCATTTTTGGGTGATTTGTTGCAAGCCTTCCTTGTTCGAGCTTGTGGATAGGACAGACGTAGATATGGTTTGCACAGCTTTCTCCATATAGTTTTCACTGCAATCTCATCGGCCCACAGAGAACTCACTGATCAATCTGATCAAGGGGCTCAACATGGAAGAACTCTAGTTATGAAGTAGAAATTGGCCTCGTGTAATGTCATTTGTCAACGCAAAGTCTACCAACCATTTGTTCATATCACAGTAGTTCACTATGCCAAAAAATGAGGTTAACCAAAAAATACAGTATCACTCATTTGGGGTTTATTGTTGGGCATACCGTATAGGATGATCCAAATTTTATCAAATGGCCCTCAAATTGCTGATAATTGGGGATGGTTTGTTACTTGGTGCCGCTGCAGTAAACTAACTCAGATATGGAAAAACAATGGAACATCACCATGTTGAAGTCATGCTTACAGGTCATCTACAAATTGGTGAGTTTCCGCAGGGTTGTGGGCCTTGGGTGCGGGTAGCGGGTAGTCGCAGGCCTCGACCATGGTGGCTCCCAAAGTCTTGGGGCAGCTGTTGAGCGCGTATGATGCGCGTGAAGCGTGGCGGCTTGGCCTTCCAGCAGGGGATTTCTTGTTTTGAATTCGGGGTTTCCAAAGTCATGGGGGTACCTCCAAACCATCCGAGCCATTAGACCATGACTTTGTATTGAAACCTATAGAGACTTGGGGATTCCCCATTTTAAGAAACCACGATTTCATCGCAGGGTTGGGCAACATCTATTTAATTGACTTCGGCAAGCCCGCCGGCCATAGAGAGGTGGCCCCAAGGGAGTTTGATGTGCATTCTAGGTGGAAGCCCACGAGAGAGCAGAAGAGAAAAGAAGAAGAAGAGAATAATAAGAAGAATAAGAAGAATAAGAAAGGAAGACGAAGACAAAGCCGTAAAGCGGAAGCGGCTTGTGTAGCAAGGTTTGCTGTAACAGCCTATTGACCGTATACCAAATTAGTACATATTAGTACCGCCCTCCAGCAAAGTAGCGCCAGGTACTATGTATGAGCCTTTGGCTTGACAGCAGACCGCTGCATGGAAGGAGACAGGGGGGAGAGATTCCCCAAGGAGGTTGACGTGCACGCTAGGTGGAAGCCTCAGAGAAGAAGAGACGAAGACAGAGCCGTGGATCAGAAGCAACTTGAGTAGCAAGTGCGTGCTTGAACAACCAATGGAACGCATACCAAATGAGCACTGGTCGATCAGTACCGTGCGCGTCCTGTGACGAGTACTTGAAGACGACGGTAATGCTGTAGGCAATGTCATCAGCTACCGGCACTACCAGTGTAGTACTTGGGGAAGAAGGGAGGAAGGAGTAGAGGAGTATCGGAGTAGGCGTCGGAGTAAGCGTAGGAATAGAAGCAGTAGTAGCAGTAGCAGTAGCAGTAGCAGCAGCAGCAGCAGGAGTAGTAGTAGTAGTAGTAATAGTAGTCGTCGTCGTCGTAGTAGTAGTAGTCGTCGTCGTAGTAGTCGTCGTAGTAGTAGTAGTAGTCGTAGTAGTAGTCGTAGTCGTAGTCGTAGTAGTAGTAGTAGCAGTAGTAGTAGTAGTAGCAGCAGCAGTAGTAGTAGTAGTAATATCAGTAGTAGTAATATCAGTAGTAGTAAAATCAGTAGTAGTAATATCAGTAGTAGTAATATCAGTAGTAGTAATATCAGTAGTAGTAATATCAGTAGTAGTAATATCAGTAGTAGTAATATCAGTAGTAGTAATATCAGTAGTAGTAATATCAGTAGTGGTATATAGTAATAGTAGTAGTAAATAGTAATAGTAGTAGTAATATCAGCAGTCGTAGTAATATCTTCAGTAGTAGTAGTAGTAGTAGTAGTAGCAGTAGTAGTAGTAGTAGTACTAGTAGTAGTAGTAGTAGTAGTAGTAGAAGTAGCAGTAGTAGTAGTAGTAGTAGTCGTAGTAGTAGTCGTAGTAGTAGTAGTAGTAGGAGTAGCAGTAGTAGTAGTAGCAGTAGTAGTAGGAGTAGGAGTAGGAGTAGGAGTAGGAGTAGGAGTAGGAGTAGCAGTAGCAGTAGCAGTAGCAGTAGCAGTAGCAGTAGCAGTAGCAGTAGCAGTAGCAGTAGTAGTAGTAGTAGCAGTAGCAGTAGCAGTAGCAGTAGCAGTAGTAGTAGTACTTGTACTTGTACTTGTACTAGTATTTCTTGGGGGAGGGGGGAGGGGGGGTGACCTTGATTCAGACGAGCAAAAACGCGCAGCAAGAGAACAAAGGAACAAGTACAAGCCAAGAACAGAAACAAGAACAAAGCCTTCCAATCAGACACGCCGGCAGGCCGGCGGATTTACTGTATCCAATTCTATCTATCGATCTATCTATATATGAATTTTCAACTTTGGCTGAGTAGGTTGGGTATCTAAGATGAGACATGATATTGTCGTCATCGTCATCCTCATCATCGCCATCATAATCGTCATATTATTTATGTCCCCATGGGAATTTCCCTTCAAGAATCAGACAACCCGGGTTGTCCCTAAGAATGATTTTATTTAGGTAGAAAAGTGGTTACTGCTGTTGTGTGCTGGCCAGGTGGCTCAAACAAACCAAGTACATTTGGTGTTTTAGGGAGGGTGACAGCCAGATGGCTAACACGGACCCCCAACTCTTTAGAAAATTGCCTTTGTTTTTGTTTTTCTTGTAGTTGGTCACCTGGGCCATGATCTTTTTGAGGGTATTAGACCCCCAAGCATCATAGGTAGTGATTCTTTAGATGTGTTTTTGCAGTAGTTCCAGGTGGACTGCCATTTTTTGTTTAAAAAATAGGGAGTCCGTGTGAGCAGGCGAATTCCCACAGGGATATACTAATAATCGAAATAGAGTTTTAGTCATGAAATTTAATGAGTCATTAAATGATTTCATCACCATCGTCGTCGTCCTCGTCCTCGTCCTCGTCCTCGTCGTCCTCGTCCTCGTCATCCTCGTCATCCTCGTCATCTTCGTCCTCATCCTCATCTTCGTCCTCATCGTCATCGTCATCATCATCATCATCAGCATCACCATCATCATCATTGTATCATTGTCATTATTGCTTTTATTGCTAACAGTGTTTTCATTGTTTTCATTGTTATCATTATCATCAGTGTCAGCAACACCATCACCAATGATTAGCATTCCCAATGGCGATTACACAATGTATAGTTACGGTGATATTCTTAATAATCATCATGTAAATCATCATAATCAGCAAAGACCGCATGTCCATCAGATTAAATTGACATGGCACCGCTTCCGTCACTTCCGTCTTGAGGTATTTGGGTCGTGCCTTGAAGGACGAGCAGATGTCCATCATCCATCACTATCAGCAAGAACCTCCGTATCCCTTGGCTCATGCAGGATTCGTTCCTCGGTGGCACCAAGCTGCGTCCGTTTTTGGTTTAACCTGGAGTCTGAGGTTAGACGCATGTTTGGGGTCTTGGTACTCACTGCGCCATCCAAAATTGGATTCATGTAGTATTGAAATCGCTGGGTTCGCAGAAGCCAGCTTGCACAATACCCATACTTATATCGCAATTACTGTATGTTTCATGAACTGCAGTTCGTTCAAGTCAGCTGGTTAAAAGGCCAAAGGAATCCTATAGAGCCCACTGTGAGGCCTTGAGTGGGGGGCTGCTGCGGAAGTTGGTGCTGGATTTGGAGGAAAAACCGCTACTTGGCCGAACTGGTGAACTGGGCCAGCTCAACCACGGAAACCGCTGGTGTACCGCAAGATAGCTGGTATGTAGAGTTCGTTCACCTTAATATATTGTTTTTTTTCGTATGTATATATACGTATGTGTATAATAATAAGAACAAATATAATAAGAAGAAAAATAGTAATAATAATAATAAGGAGGACTATTTTCTCTGTTTATATATATATATTTATATATAGTTTTTTGTTTTCCAGCCTGGTTTTGTTGCTTGTTTGGCTTCTGTGGCTTTTGTCGGTGTGTGGCTTGTGTGACTTTACCATGCTTTGCCTATCTATCTATCTATCTAATCTAACCTAATCTAATCTAATCTTACCTAATCTTATTTGATTTTATCTGACTTTATCGTATCTAATCTATCTAGTCTATCTAAAGTATCTATCTAAAGTATCTATCTAAAGTATCTGCCTCAAGTATATGTCTAAAGTATCTATCTAAAGTCTCTATCTAAAGTATCTATCTAATCTATCGATCTAAGTCATTTATCTATCTATCTATCTTCCTACCTACCTATGTATCTATCTATCTATCTATCCATCCATCCATCCATCTATCTATCTATCTATCTATCTATCTATCTATCTATCTATCTATCTATCTATGTACCTACCTATCTATATATATATTTATATTTATATTTATTTTTTTTTTATTTTTGAATTTTTTATTTATATGCACACACACACACCTAAAACAACCCGACATAACCAACCCTTTATAAACCCTAAACTAACCCTAAATAACCCTAAACCAACCCTAAATAAACCCTAAACTTACCCAAAATAACCATAAATAAGCCCTAAACCAACCTAAAATAAACCCTAAACCAACCCTAAATAAACCCTAAACCAACCCTAAATAACACTGAATAAACCCTAAACCAAACCTAAATGACACTAAACAAACCATAAACCAACCCCAAATAAACACTGAATAAACCTTCAACCAACCCTAAATAAATCTAAGCCAACCCTAAATAACCTAAATAAGCACTGAACCAACCCTAAATAAACCCTGAACAAACCTCATATCACCCAAACAAACTTTAGTGTCAAACCTAAATGACACTAAACCAACCATAAACCAACCCCAAATAGCACTGAATACACCCTAAACCAACACTTAAATAAACCTTAAACCAACCAACACTATGATAGCATCCAATGCCACTATTTAGACCCAACAGGGTTGCCTTTCAACCTATATTCTACATGTTCGCCAGACGCATGTTATGCAAGGAAAAATCGATTGAAACCATGGAAAAATAAATTGTAACCATGTGGACAATTCAATGAAAATTATGAGAACATCGATGAAAACTTTGGGTAAATCAACGAACACCATGGAAAAAATCGAGTAAAACCATGGAAAAATCGATGAACAGTGCAAATGGCAAATTTTAGCTCCCAAAATTCAGCAAAGTACAGGTTTTCGTTCCAAAATGTAGCAAATAGCAAGGACAAATGCCCCAGACTGAAAAACAAAAAATACAAAAAACAATACCAAAAAATATGCACCCTTATTATAATACATATAGAATAATATATATATATGTGTGTGTGTGTGTAATGTGTGTATATATATATGCATGAATCATGTATGTAATGTAATGTAATGTAATGCAATGCAACGTAATGAAAAACAATGCAATGCAATGCAATGTAATGTAATGTAGTGTAGCGTAATGTAATGTAGTGTAGTGTAATCTAATGCAATGCAATGTAGTGTAGGGTAGTGTAATGTTATGTATGTATTCATTGATCCCCTCCCCACCAGACCACTAGAAACCAGGCAACATCGTCGCAACCAAAGCAACGAGTCCGCCAGTCCAAGGTTGGGAGGTGGCCAACAGATCGAACCCGTTTGGGAATTGGCCAGTCGTCTCAGCAACTCGCCATGGCATGCCATGGCCATCGATGAGTCGATGGCCTTTGTTTGGGGACGACATGGGACGACCTTGAGGTTGGTACATTTGATCGTCCCGACTTTGAAGCAGCGATGTATAATATATATTATATATATGACATTGTATAGCACTGTATAGCTAAGTTTGCATTGGAGATAGATGTTGCACAACTCCCATCTTAGGGTCTCATGTGATGAACCGTACTTGGCTCGTCATTCACCAGCCAAGAATCGATGGGTCAACCTTCGATGCCCTGAATTCCACCAATGAGGTTTGCTGAACTATTCCCATTTTCGCTGGTTAAACCACTTTTTTTTGGTTGATTCAACCCCAATTGGTAACCGGTAGTTTTAAAGTCCGTCCAGTTCTCTTCCTGCCAATCTTCTTGCTCTCTCTAGAAACGCGGCAACCACAAACTGACGGGGATCTAAACCATACGTCTTGGCAAGGACGACAAAATGGGTTCAGCTGCTAACTGGCTCATTGTTTTTAGGAGATTCACCCAATCTATATGACTGTAAAACTTTATGAATTAGAAGGAAAAATCATCCATTCCAAACCTCCGGTGCATCTATATGCAATGATAAACATCCAGTAAAGGCCTCGGCAGGCAATGTTCTCCCTACGCTTGCGCTCAGTGCATTTCGCTGGGTCTTGCCTTTGATGATGGTTTTTGGCTTTTGTTTTTGCCGCCATCTTCACCTGTAGAACACCCCTATGCCTGTCCCCCCCGATCTCTATTTGTGTCCTGCTCGCCTTCCCAATTGGGAGGTGTCCTGTGCGGATTGACTCGCACTTTCACGCGCATGTTTTATCCGGACATGTTTTTTCTTGTCCACAGCTACCAGTTTTGCTATGGCCAAGGCGCCACGGGCCGTGTTATCCAGCATGACCTTGCAATTCTAGGTGTTGCTGCTCTAGATTCACAGCGACAGCTGTGAATGACAAACATCCGGCAAAAACTCCACTGCATTTTAAACATTAATATCTACCTATCTATCTACCTACCTCTCTATCTATCTATCTATCTATCTATATATCTAGCTATCTATCTGGAGGTAATGATAGCTATCTTTGGGATTCCACTGGGTTTTTCCAGTGCCAGGCAAGATGGGCATCGCCATCACTGACCACCGTGGCTTCTGCCTCGAGGCAGCCACGGGCTGCGCCACCTGGGCGAGGAGCCTGGAGCCGTTTCGACCCTCCATGGGCTTAACAGCTGCAGAGCTGGCACCTCGGTGGAGTGGATCAGGTGAGAACCTTGGGCCGTGGCTGGGTATGGCTGGATGTTTTCCATAGATTCCATAGATGTCTCTATGATCACTAAGTGAATCACTATGATGAATTTTGGAAGATCATGAAGATTTCTGCTGAGTAAGCCGCAGAAAACTGGGAAATCAGGCAGAAGGAATGGGATTTTCACCAAGGACAATGGGACTTTGGCCAAAAAGTGTTTGTACTTGTTTAAACTTCGAAGGAACTTGTGGAATGTCTGACGAGTTTTGTGAAGTTGGAGCATGGTAACGATTGTATTTGCATGTATTTGCTAAAAATGGATCAAGTACTGACATTTGAGAACTCATGGCACTGTGGAATTAGAGCAGCTGATTGCTCTTTGAGTGACAGCAGTAGTTTTTTATTTCTGGTTGGTTGTTCTGAGGATTATGAGAATATTTGCCATGTTCAATTCTAAACTCGGGATACCTCGGGATGATAGCAGTTGTATATGTATACGTGTATATATATATATATACATAGTTTATTTGCAGAGAGAGAGAGATGTATGTATATATATATATATACAGTATGTATTATTTATGCTCTCTCTCATTTGGCCAGTGTTTTTCCGTTGGGGTGACTACTCCCAATTTGACTCTGCACACATGGGGTTGGAGAGACACGACACATCTATAATTTATACTTATATTGTTTGCACAGAGAAAAGAACTAGAATTCATTGGGTTAGATTACAGTACATAGCGCGGAATTACTTACGCTACAGAATGTAGCGTAGATTAGAGGCACATTTCTAAAGTGCACCAACCACCAACCTGTGCTGCATTCTGTTTGTAAGTTGCAAAGGTCATCGCCGTGAAGACCGTTGAGAAGTTCCATTCCGTACGGCTACCGCTGTTGAAGGAACCTGAACATACATGGAAGCCTAAGGGCTTAAGGGCATGCAGTATATATATATATACATATATATGCAGTGGCAAAACCAGCAACGATGATCAACCATGGGGATAAGTGGAAGGGTGATGTTTCTTAGTTGTGTTTATGTTCATTTATGTTCCATCCTCATGACCTGATGCTTGGGATCCTAGATTCAATTGATGAGCCAGTCTTGAGGATGCAGCGGAACTACATCAGGCCTTCACTGGCCATACTATATATATATATACACTATACAATGTTCAGTGGTTTTTGAAGGAACATCAGGTGTTTTTTTTTAACCCGGCCACCAGGAATTTTGGACGGATGAAAGTGCAGTCGAGGTCCTCTACTTGAGCAACACCAAAAGCCACTGTGTGCAAGAAGCAGACCTTGGATGCGCCCAGAAAGCCAAACCCGCTGATTCTTAAAAGTTTATTTGTCAGTGATTGCCGGGATAGCTAGATGGAAAGATAGAGATGGCTCTCGAGGAGTGGTTCGCCCATGACATAGACAGAGCCTGTCACTTTCAAATCAAATGAACTTGACTGGGTTTGTTGAAAAACATGTGCCTTCCAGTAATTGCACCTGGCTTGAAAAATGAACCGTTTGACTTTGTAGATGATATACCTATTGAACATGGTGATTTCCCATATGAAAACCGTTAAGTTACCAGAGGGTAGTTTCCAGTGACTCTCCCAGGTAATGACTTGGTGGACATCATTGACTTGAGCCTTGAATTTGGCGACATGGTTGATCCAAGCAAAGAGTCCAACAAGCAGGGCAGTGGCCATTGCACAAAGATGCAGGCCATTTTAAGGCGCTGAGTCGTGTGCGGTTGCCGTATGTTGCCGTGTCGGCAGCTGGTGAGAAACTGAGCCTTGTATTCCTTTTGGATAAAATTCAAGGGCCGAGATTGGCTTTGTTTAGGTTTGAACATGTTTGAATCATGTCAAGCAGTTGATGTGGGGAATCCATGGAAGCAGCTTGTTGGTCCAACGAATTTCCAGCCATGTGGCAGGTATTTGCACCGCTCCCGGCCGAGTCGACGATGGTATGTGGTCACAGACGATGACACCTTGGTGAACGTTCCTCGCTTGCTGCGAGTGCTGGACTCGCATGATGATTCACTGGCAATCTATTTGGGTGAACGCTATGGATGGTCTCACATGCAGGCGTCTCTCTCAGGGTTGATGTTTGTTTTGTTTTTTCTTTGCGGGTAAGGAGCCTTGCGGAAAAGCAGCAAGCCTTTTGCGTCAGCAAGGGGTCAACATATTTGATCATGAATCATATATAATCATATTTGCGTTTTCTCTGAACATTCCGTCCCACATTGTTAGGTAAGTATGTTTCAGTCAATTCTGGTTCTAGTGGCGCGCTTGGAGTTTATACGTCTAGTGGGGCGCAAAACAGGACCGTGACGGGACCAACTACATTACCACAGGGGCCGGGATGGCCCTTTCCAACGCCGCCCTGCAACGCTTGATGTCTTGCAGCACATGCAACTGTCGGGCGCCAGATGCCCCTGATGATATGTCATTGGGCACCTGGTTTCGCAATTTGGGCATCGAAGCGTGCCTCAGTTGATGTGCGGGATATTGCAGGTACTGGTGCTTGGGTATGGGTTGGCTTCCTTGCTTGGTCCATCCTTTTGACAGAGGAGACCATGGAACCCACATGGAAAAAGAATGCTGTGATTCTGTAAGTCCCGAGCAGATGATGCTTGTTGGCTTTTGTAATTTTCCACGAAACATCCTTTCCACGCAGAATTTTGGAATGTCTAAGATAATAGTATGGAGCCATTAGATCTCACCAAATGAAATGTCTAGATTGTAGCTGCGCGTCAGCAGATATACAGTAGTATATTCTGTGCAAGCAAGCAAGCAAGCAAGCAAGCAAGCAAGCAAGCAAGCAAGCAAGCAAGCAAGATTCAAGGCAGACTGTGCATGGGCAGTGCAGCTTTGGCATTTGAGGACCCATGAGGAGGGTTTCCATCAATCAGAACCGCAGAACTATCACAAGGACTGTTTGCTGCTGCACTGTGTTTGTGGGGCATCTATAGATCCATGCTAAGCCCAAAACCCGGAAAGCCGACACAACTATTTCATTCATTTGCTGCGAAGTCCTGCGTGTGTGGCAGCCTTTTCTTTCGGGTGCACTAAGATGAGCTGATAGCTGACCATAAGCGATTGTCATGGAGTATGTGAATGGACGATTGTCCAATGACTAATGTAAAGATTGGTGATGTTGGGTGCAACTTCCTGTATTCTTAGGCCAAAGTCCCCGCAGAATCAAGTTAGAGTGAATCTTATAATATAATTGACATTTTTATTCAAGCGTTGCCAGGTTTATCCCGATGAACATGCATGTTCGTGTAAGTGCCCACAAGGGCAACATATTTAATTATATTCTGATGCAGATAGCTGGCAAAATTTTGTTGGTAAAGTTTTGCCCGTGAAGTTTTGCCGGCGAAGTTTGCGGCACAGTTTCTGAGTAATCATGTAATATATAAGTCTGAGTATGCGGCGAAGTTTGCGGCTAAAAATGCGCTTTTTTTTATTTTCGAAAAAAGAACACCGAGATTTCACAACACACTTCACCACGCACCACGGCCCCGAACCCAAAAAATCCATTACAGTATAGGCGGCATTTTTTATCCACCAAATATATTCATTAAAATCCTTGTGGCATAATTTAGGTTACCAATTTGCGGGGAGGGGCTGTTGGGATTTTTTGAGTTCACCCACAGTGTTCATTGGTTTCTGTTGGGTGTTTGTCTGGCACAGCAATGACCCATTGGAAACCAATTCAAACCCACCGCCTTTGTTATATTCAAAACTTCAAAACCTTTCAAACATGTTCATATCCTTATCAAAACGTTCATTGGTTGTTTTTATCTCAAAATACATCACATACTGCTAAACATTGATTGGTTGATTGTAATGTGAAAACTGCAGCTGTTTCAAACATTAAATCAAGACCTGTATCATATCCAACCCCCCAGGTTACAATGTCCTATACCCTCTGGTAATCAACTTGCTGGACAATCCAGCTCGCCATGTTTGATGACACTACACGACAACCCTAATTGCTGGTTAAATATTTTCCTGTAGACCCAATAAATCATCACTTATGGTTGGTTCCCATTATATCCCAATCATATACCATGTATGCTTGCTTGGTGATATTCTTCTCTCCCGTTATATCCCATTATTTATATATATATCCTTTCACATGGATATTGTTGTGTACCAATTAATCCCTTCCTCCTATTACTAAACCCCACCCAAATACTAAAAACTAGTGTCCATCTCCAACTTTTGAAAATTTCAGATTGGCCAATTTGATTTTTAATTGATCCCCTTTAGAAAACAATTTAAAAATCAAACTACCATTTGTGGGTTCCCCCCCCTAATACTAAAAACTAGTCAACCCCGGGGTGTTTATTATTAGGATCCGTCCGATTTTTTTTGTTTTTTTTAATAAAAATGTTTTTAATTTAGTGCTAGGGGGAAGCTTCGAAATCCAATTTTTGGCAATATTTTAATCGCGTTATATAAAGAAATTTAATTGATTTTGAGATCGGACAAACAGTTTTTATTACTAAGGGTTTAAGTTTATTAATGGGGTTCCCTAATAATAAATACCACCCTAATACTAAAAACTACCTGCCGCGTTTAGTAATAGCGGGGGCGTTTAGTATTCGGAGGAAGGGATTATTTACATACATATATATATATTTATTTATTTATTTATATTTATATTTAGTAAATTTTCACGACCTGCGACCGAACCCTGGAATGATAGGGTAATTATCCAAGTATAGCCTTATTTGTCTTATTTCATAGTGAGTTATGATAATCGACCAGGAGTACTTGGATGTTCAACCCTGGCGATTTCACGCTAAGTAGGGGCAATGTTCACTTTTTGCATGTGAACTAACCCACCTGGGCTAACATTTACTAACTGAGAATCACTGGGGTGAACTCACCTGGGCTTATTACCCACTTTTCCCATCTTTTCGGATGAAGGCTTAGTTCACTGATGTTCAGTTGTAAGCAGCGTTTTAGCCCAATTACTACCCTCTGGTAAACTAACATAAAAATGGAAAGTCACCATTTTTAATGGGAAAACTCACTAATTCAAAGGCTATTTTCAATAGCTTTTTGTATGTTTACCAGAGGGTAACAGTACCTGGGATGAACCACCGTTGTTTAGCGTTAGGAGCTGCTCGGCGCCAGCGATCCTCCTGTCTCCTTCCATCGCTTCAATGCGCGGCTACCGGGCTCGGCCTCCGCCGAGGAGTTCCACGAAGCACGACGTGCCCGGAAAAAACTGGAACTATGTGGGGTTGTTATATGCAAAATGTATACAACATACACAGAAAATAATATATATATATATTTATGCATATTAATTAATGTATACATAGTAATATACAGATATAGGAATAACCACCAAAAAGATAGAATAGAACCGTGATTTGCCACTATTCTTAGCAGGATAATATATATATATATATACTGTTCTATTCTTTTATGAATTCTTATGTTGTTATTTTATTCTGTATATATTATGTGTGTTTGAAAATATGTGTTCGGATTGTATCCTGGGTTTGCTGAAGATTATTTTTTGTAGTTTACCATTGGTTCATCCACCTTTTTGGGCAATCTTGTCGGATATAAGTTTTCTCTAATTTAATGATATACACGTGCCCTCCATCTAACATAGGCAGCACCAGACAGGGGCCTGCCAGTTTCTCAGTGTGCTAGCTGAGGGGATAAGAATTATTATTTTAAGTTACCATTCTGGAAAAGTATGTATGAGAAATCAACACTATATATAAATATGTATGATGATAATATATACATATATTATCATGATAATATATATATATATATATATATTATGTACCGCAGAGGAATAAAGCGGCTATTGGGGATTTAATCACTATTCTGGGGATATAGTAGAGGTAAGGGATTCAAATCAACAATACGAGATGAACTTGTTTGAAACGGGAGGCACCACCCCAAATTAAATTGTTGTTTGAATGGGGGAAACTCTAAACAAATGAATTTCGAGGTCCCAATTTTTCTAGGCAAACCCAACAAACCCATCAGTGAATTGAGTAGCCCAGGTTCCGATATTGTTATCCATCAGCCATGGTTCAACTTTGTGAGTTGTTCAGGAAGGCTCCAATGTTTTTGTTTGTTGCTTCAGTTTGTCGGACACTTTCGGTATCTATATAACTGGCCAACAGGTGGCCATTTTGTGGTTTTTGAGACAAACGCATTGCACATTTGGTTGGCCTTTCATACGATGTTCAACCATTTGTGGGGTGATGTGCTGACTTTCCCGGGATGGATTGAAACCACTAAGCAGATCTCAGCAGATGTTTACAAAGTATCGAGTATCGAGTATAAAATAATTGCCAGTTGTAATTAGGCCGTCCCTAGGCCAAAGTTGGAGCAGTTGGAGGAAGAACTATTTTAAGCAGGAGTTGCGACTTGTGGGCTGTGGCATGTGGGGTGGCTGAGCTCGGATGACTTGGCGTGGATTATGTTAACCTGTAAGATGTTGGGGTGTGCTATCTTTTGAATAACCCGCGTACCACTGTGGTGCTATGGCCCACGGCTACGACGTTTTCTTGCATGAATATCAAATATTGTTGCTGTAAGTGTGAACGAGTCAAAGTCTCTAAGGTGCTTGCTCTAAATCATCATATGGTGACCCGTGGTGACGCATGATATAACTGTCTTCAGAAGGTCAAAAAGATGCCCTTACCCTCTGACTCACCGATGTTTGTGGAAGGATTGGTACTTTTGTACCTGGCTGACGGGAACACCAGACTGTCACTGATATGCGTTGCCAGCTATGTGCATGTTCTCATTTGTATCACCATGTATCACCGTAGTTGATCCACCCAAGCTTCGCTTCAAGGCTGTGAACCTTCCCCCATCTCTGGTACCAGTACAAAAATGGGTCTTGAAGAGTGGGCAACAGGCAAGTTTCTCAAGCTTCATGATCCAAACACAGAACCAGAAGGCGACTATCACTTGTAGGCAGAGTTATTCCGGTACGATGATGTTCGTTTTGACCAGATTTTGACCCTTACAAGTGGAGTCGCACTTGAATAGGTCCGGTATTACCCCTGTTATAGCTGTGAATATGCCTAAGCTGCACCAACACCCTCCTGGTGCTGTCACGTTGGTCCCGCCCAAAGGAGCTGTGATCAGCGTTTGGGAGGAAGAAAAAAGCTGCGCGTTGTTGATGGAGAAAGTGGGAAGTAACACGACATATCCCACCAACAGGCAGCAAAGGAAACAAACCTGCATACCATATGCGTAACTTTCATAAAGATAGATGCTTGCTTTGCTGGTGGTTGCATTTGTTTGTTTATGTCGTGTTCCTCCGTCCCTATTTGGGGCATATAATTATTGGTAGTTTAAAGACTTAAGATCTTCAGGATGCGTTTTAATGTTAAGAGTTGAAACCAAATAATGAACAACCAGGATAGTTTGGTTGGAGCAAACAGTAGATGAACATTTGCTGGTGTGTTTACAGATTCAGTTATGGCTGGGCATATCTCTATAAATAGACATTTGCTTTGACCACATCCCCAAGAATTCTACATAGCCCCAATAATATGGGAATACCCAGACCCCAGAATGAATTACATCCAATACAAAACCGGTACTTATACCATCTTATACCTATTCATCACAATCTGAGTGGGAAGTTAATCACCATCACAGCGAAACCCTGATACATGAGTTGCACATGTTTATGTAAATGCAATTGCTACCTGGAATTCAGGTGACTGCATGTCAAAACCTCAACATGACCGAGACCTGGTACTGAAATCAAGGAAAGTAAACGGGGGAGCTCTCACCGTATCCCAATTTCTAAACTTCTAAGAGGATTTCATCATTGACCTCCTCCCATTTATACAAGTTATCATCAGCATCAGCAGCATCATCATCATCATAATCATAATCATGATCACCACCATCATCATCATCATCGTCATCATCGTCATCATCGTATTCATCATCGTCATCATCGTCATCATCATCGTCATCATCGTCATCATCGTCGTCATCATCATCAGCAGCATCATCATCATCAGCAGCATCATCATCATCAGCAGCAGCAGCACAATGGATACTGGGTAACAGATAATGTTGAAAAGAAAACGTATAAGCCCAAGTTACCATATATATATATATGGCAACAAACGTGGAACCAGATTACGGATCATTACAGATTATATATAAATCCCATTAAATCCCATTAAATCCCATCATAACCTCAATACCTTCGCGGCGCGTTGCGCGGTCATCCCCGACGCAGGGGGACAAGGCTTGGCGCCTTTTTCAGGAGGTTCAACGGCAGAAGTTGCGCCGCTGGGCGAAACGCCGGAGAGATATGGGGGGAGATCAAAAAAGTGGTAGTTGGGACATACCATGACATACCCACATGTTGGTGTTTTCAGGGTTAAAACTCCGACAAAATTTGTGTGGCTACTTGGAGCCAACATGGAGGATCATCCGACTATAGCAACTGTTGTTGGTAAGTGGGGATGTAAACCAGAAATGGGATAACTACTGGAACCTCAGTTTGGGGAACTGATTCACCAGAGTCAGTAAGCACGCACTGACCCCATCCAAAACAGCGCTGGGCCCCTCGACTCCAAAACGGGGGCAAGTGGCCCTAGGGATGAGGAAGCTGGCAATTTTCTGCTTTCCTGTTCAGCAACCCCAGAGTCCGCAGTGATTCATATATCCCTTAAAGCAACGTGAAAAAATATTGAAATTTTAGTAATTCCAGACAAATCCGAAAATTCAGACAAAACAGAAACTTCACAAGAGTCTGAAAATCAGCAAATTCAGAAGAGCAGAAAATTCAGAAAAAACAGAAAGCTCATACAATTCCAAACAATCAGACAAATGAAGCAGACCATGCAGAAAATTTAGAAAAAGAACTCATTTGAAGCTTGATTTATGCAGCACTTTTGGAAAATTCAGGAAACAACAATAAACATACAACTCAGGAAAAATAACAACAAAAGAAGAATAAACATCTGGAAGAGAGTAGACAATTTCAAAAAACGTGGAAGAAACAACAAAACAAAATTCATAAGATATAGACAATCCAGAAACATAGCGCAGTTGAAGCTCAATATGTTCAGAAAACACAGGCAAATCATGAAATTAAGAAAATCAGCAACTTCACAAAACAAAAATCACAGAAAACCCAAAAACAAACAGCAAAATCACAAAACAAAACAGCAAATCAGAAGAACATTACAGTTCAGAAAACGCATAAAAAAACAATCAGAAAGGTTAGAGAAAAAGTAGAATTTTCATAAATTTTAGATTGTTCAAGTTTCTTGAGCAAAAACTAATGAAATATATTCATCCTGAAATGGCGGTTGGAGAAGAAACATGAGTTTGAACACCATGAAAAAAACTGTCTAGGAAAAATAGAACATTCAAAAGTAAAAACACGTGTTTTCATTTTCGAAACAGTAGTGTATAAATAATATGGCAATGGCGATGAAGAGAGGAAATCATTTCCATATTTCTGCACTTGAGAAAAACACCAGCTAACAGCGTAATTGCATATATATATACATATATTCATTTTTTTTAGAGGTGAACCAAAAAACAGTCAAACTATCATCAAAAACAACACGTTTGCAAAAGGACATAATTTCATCCTCCTGTAGAATTCAAAACTGCAACATAGGTCTTGACACGATGGCGGCAGCAGAAACTATGTTCCACGTTATTTCCCAATGTTTCAGCAGTAAAAAAGTTTACATAAGTTCGAAAAGTCAATCAAGTAACTTGTGTTATGACATATTGAGTTCATATAAGTTCTTAGATTCCAGATAAGTGCCTGAAGTAAAACAAGTTCTTCGTTTAGGCGTCACAGTGGTTGAGAGACAGCTGAGGGCCTTCCTGACCACTGAATTGTCATAACAGAGTTACCCGCTGAATTCACGTTAACAAGTGGTGAAGGTAGCTTCATGTCATTCTTGGGTTAATTTCCAGGGCCTGGATCTTAGTTACGAGCAACGAGTATTCACAGGATTGCCGCAGGCTGCAGTTGGTAGTGACGGCTGCAGTTGGTCAAACTGACCTACAAGAGAAGCCATTTAGAACCTACATTGATTATACAATTATTATATTTATTATACACTATAATATGCCAATGGGCTCATCCAAGAATCAGCCAATGTTAACTACCGAACTGACCTACGGACCTAGGTCCGGACATCGCCATGTACAGCGTCAGGGCTCCAAGTGTCAAAAGTGTCAACGCTCCGGCTGTGGCTGGTTTTGGCGGGAGTAAATATGGCAGGTATATGGCAGGTATATGGCAGGTATATGGCAGGTATATGCATTTGAGTAGGGGAAAACCGTTTTGGAAAACCACTTAACTACTAATTCGTATACGTTTGTGTCAACATTTAGATATATTTGAATACATTATATATATATATGTATGTATGTATATATATATGCGTGTGTGTGTATTCATATGCATATACAATATTGCATGTGATCGTTTGATCATTCATTCGGAACCAGGGAACATTTATACACATACATTTTGAGAGGTGATGCAATAAAATAAGTCAAAACAGATAAATGCACCATATGTAAAAAGGTTTTAACTTGCTATGGATTTTACCCTTCCATTGTCAATTGTCGCAGGCTGTCACCAGCGCATGTGACCAAATGCAACAGCAACTTGGCACCAGAGCGAAAGCCGCAATGGGGGATGGGGATGTCATTGGTTGGAACATTTGCCAAGAAACATCAAGAAATCAAGTGTTACATGGGTAATGGATTATTCGGGCTATATCTGGGTATATAGGGGTTATATATGGAATATGCCCACTGTTACATTGCAATGCCTAATTTAAAAACAACGTTTGTTTTTGAGCAATGGGGCGATGAAAAGTGGACAGACCCATGTGACCAAAGTTCACCTGGTTTCAGCTTGGTCCGTGGAATTCATCCATAAGATCCTGTGCTGTTGCAGTAGTCGCTGCTGGGGATGTGCCCAATGCCCTCTTTGCATTGATGTGAATGTTTATTGAACAAATTACTGGACTATCCGGATGGCTTAGATCTTACCTCGGTTCAGTATTTATGGCACCAACTAGAAAAATGAGTTGAACTGGTGCCAGGCGATGGATGCTATATGTTTAAATATTTGCCATCATTTAGCCAGTGTGGGGGTGTTTGGAAACATCGTACCCTCCAGCTCCAGCCGGGTTGATCCCAAGGTGGACCTGGGCGCTTCAGATGCTGAGCCGGAGCCCAAGGATAGATTTCATTCACCGAAGAACAAGAAGGAACCAAAACAAAACACAGCAACCAAAAAAAAACAAGCACCAACACAGCAGCCAACAACAACAACAACCACAACCACAAACAGACAAAAGAGTGGACCAGCAGAACAACATCAATATAATTTTATTATATATATATATATATTAGAGAGATTATAGCCGGGAATGCACCAGGGGGATCATCAGGTGCGTTGACCTGTTCAAGTGGGGGCATCAGGTCTGGCAAGCGCGGAGGTTGGATGGGATGGGCGGATCGAGACTATGGATCCTATGGCAGGGGAAGGTTTGATGTGTGAATCTTTCAATACGGATCCCACTTGGGTACGTCCATCATACCTTCGCATTGACGCAGGATAGCCCCATCTAATTTATGGTGGCAATGCCGGTTCCCCTTCACCATCCATTTGTAAAGCTCTGGAGATTTGCACCCCGATTCCACAAGGGTGGAGTTCGCAGTTTTGAAGTTGCTGGCTCACAGTTTTGAAGTGGCACAAGGACACACACAGTTCAGTACTGCAGTTGCTCCAAACTGAAAGCCGTACAAAAGCAGCAACAAAATTGCGGAATCTGCAGCAGTCCCCAAGTGGCTACCAAGCCAATGTTGCCGCCGAATCCCAATGGATATTGACACATGAATTGAGTGTTGATATGATCCTATGATATGATGGGGTTGTCTGAAAATTCGAGCAACATTTCCACAAATCCGCTGGTTCATCATCATTTTCCTCACATAAAATGTGCATAGTTGAGGGCATACACCTTTTTCAGCAA